TAGTGCAATAATGTATGTTTTATAGCCAAAAATAAAAATGGTATCTCATATTCGGCATCCTTACCCTATAAATGATAAAAAGGCGAATTGATAAAAGACAGTGAATGTTTTTTTTTCGATTTTGAAAAGGCATATTAGACAAATTTTTAAAGTTACAGTTTTTTACTAATTTGTTTTATTATACATAATAAATCTACATTACTCGTTCATTCATTAATTTATTTATTCATCATAAGGGGTAATTTTCGACAACTGGCAATACAGAATCGATTACCCATTTTTTCGTTTATTCTGTTGTTCGCACATATTCTGTCTTGGTCTAAAGAACAATGGTTAAAATGGAGTACGAAAAAAAAAGTTCTTGTACCAAGATGGAACTATCACCAAAATGTAGTATAAGTTGAATGTAATTATTATATACCGACAATTTATTTTTAAAAGCTGGGAAAAGAAAGATAATCCTCTCTAAAATATGTCTTTATTTTTTAGAACGCAGTTTAAATTATGTTATTTTTGAACGCATCTTATTAATAATGTCATTCCTAGAGAAGTCCCTTTCTTTTCAAAGAACAAGATCGATTTTATTTCTGACTAATCGAATTTGATACAAATCTTATATTATTTACTAACCATATAAATCCGTGAAAATTATAAAACTTAGATTAGATTACTAATATAATTAGATGTTACTTAGAGGAAAATAGTTTATTTATAATGAAATTAAAAACAAATGATTATTCATAAGAATCGATATTACAGTATTCAATCGATTGCGACCTCCCTTTTTTAGACAAGTATGTGTAGACGTGTTTCTACGCAGACCGTTTTGTAACTTTGGCGGTGATTTTGTATTATCTTCTGTATCGTGGGGAGAATACTAGGATCCATCGGCAGTATAGAATTGAGGTCTGGAGAGAAATACCGGATTTTCTGGATTTATTAGAATTAGACTTAAATATAAATAAAGTCCTAGTTATAAGGGATAGAATTAAGTCGAGACATTGGGAGGAAACAATATTATGTGTACATTTTAAAGAATAATGACACATCCGGGTTAGATGGCATAAGAGAACACTGCTGTAGTTGTCTTATTGGTCGATGTACACTGGGATGCTGTGCTCATATGATGACCATAGTTTGGTATCTTGGATGGGCCAGACACGAACAGAATGTAGCTGCTATTCCAGCATTCTGTGATGAGGTATTCATTAGAGTTGTAAAAAGAAAAGAAAAATCAACATGTTGTTTTGCTATATCCTTTCGAATTTAGTATTTTCACTACTACTTTATATAAGTTATAGTGTAAGATAGAAAAGTAAAGTTATTGAGAGCAATCTTAATAATTCTATTATTATTATTTTTTTGATGTTCGTTGGGTTACAAAAAATGATTTTATTTCTTACAGTCAATAAAATAATTTATTAGATATGGAGCAAGTTTGAAGTATTGTGTGAAAGAACGCACTTCTAGGACTACGATTAGGCATTATCTGACGTGTGCTTTACATATTTCAACTGTAATACCTCTAACTCAAAATGCATACAGTTTAAATAATACGACATAACCTCAAAAACATATTACACAATTACTCGATACTCCCAGCTTTCCCAGCATAGGCAAACAAAATAACATAAGTTTCATCAAGTTGCGTTTTATTCGATTTTACTAGTCCAAGCATGTTAGGCAGATGGCCATTGTTCTTTAAAGTTTAATCGTAGATATGAGGGAAAAATATATACCAAATCTATTTATATTATATAGTATATATGTTAATTGCAAAGCTACGTCCTGATTTCGGAAAAGGGTTACGATTTTTGGGGCGTCTGTTGTATGGGATTGCTTCTCTGGTTTAAGCATGTCGATTCAATTGAAAAAAATATCGATATCTGAACCGATTTGAATCGAACATAATAGAATTGATTCTGGAGTAAATCGAGCATTAGAGATCGATTTTCGATTAATCGCGAATTTGTCACATAAACATGGCTTATATAGACACAGAGCATTATTGATGATAATTTACCGTTAATACAAGTAAGGGAGGAATTGCAGGAAACCAATCAGGCAGTCTGTCTGTAGTCTAATTTAAATAAGTAAAAATATAAATTAATCAAATAGAAATGACAAGAATATCATATCAAACGTTAAGATTCATTTGAATATTTCCCACTTTTGTAAGTTTAAGTATGTCCGCAACTTTATGGTACGTTTTATTTTTTTTTTACTAACGAGTGGAGCGATGTATGGGTGATTCCAAGGGCTGGAGGAACAATGACAGTTGTGACAACTATGCTATACTGACAATCGAATGCGTTATATGTAAATATTTATTTTATGCGTTCAAATTATATCAATGCGTCCGACAACAGCAAAATATTAAAAAAATTAAAAATATTGTAGCCATTAAAGGATTTTTATATTGCTAGTTCTTGAATGAGGAAGTATTTAGAAAAAACGCGGGCACTAAATAAGCACTTCCACTAGATGGCGACTCTAGCAAAATTTGATTTATGCAGGAAACGAATAAACCAAAGACAGTAGTTTCAGTTTCTTTTAACTAACATATTAAAAAAACTGAAATTTGAAAAGTTCGAAACTTGGATATCGCTACAAATACGAAAAAGTACAAATAGAATATGAGTTTTATATTGAGTTTTGAAAACTAATTTACTTTTAAACTTGAAAGAAAACCGGAAAGGTTGTCATAGAGAAATCAAGATCGTACCGTTGCGACATCTAGTTTGATTTCGGGAACTAATGTCTTTTTTTTAATATTTCCTCATTGAATGAATCGATCCGATTCCAGAGGTTCAAGAATCGATTTGGCATTCCAAATCGTTCTGAAAATTCATTTTTTCAATCTAAATTATCGATTTCCGATCGCCATGCCTACTGTAGTTATCCCATGCTTGTCAAACCTCAATAACCCATCACAAATTCATATAAATTTGCGTATTAATAGTCATATAGTATTAGAAGGTTAATGGTGGAGATTAAAAACTTAAATAAAAAAGGTAACTAACTATAGTAGCGAGGTCTGGCGGGCGTGCCTGCAAACTGAGAGTATTATTATATGTAATCTTCTCAAGCCTGTAGATCTATCTATGTCTAGTTAATTCTTCGCTTATTAGATCGTCCTCATGGTTGTCAACCAGAGCTCCGACCGAAGTGACATGGGCATGAAGAAAGACATTGTCTTGTTTGGGAGTTTATAGCGGTAATGAGAAAGTATTTAAAAAAAACGAAATCACTAAAAAAGCACCTCCACTAGATGGCGGCTCTAGCAAAAGTTGATTTTTGCAGAAAACTCATTACACCAAACATCGTTCCTTTACACGTAACATAATAAATAACTTAAACTTACGATTCAAATAAATCAAAATTAATTTGAAAGTTAGATATTATAAAAAACACGAAACGAAGTTATATTTTTTAATTTTCGATACTCAATTTACTTTTATTACGTCAGAAACAAAATTTGAATGAATATCATTCCAATCATCGCTAGTGACATCTAGTTTGATTTCTAGAACTATTTTTTTTAATACTTCCTTACTGAGGTTTCCGACGGAATACTTATGTCATTTATTTCATTTTCATTTTATCTCAAGAAATTTATTTATTCACTTGAGATGGGCAGAATTCTCCAAAATGCGCAGACAAGACATTAATAAAAGGAGAAGGTTTCCAACGCCTGTCCCATCGACGAAACGACTACAAACTACTAAGGTTCCGTTCATAGCAAAAGGATCGATCATTTGAACCGATGAAAATATGAGCTTTTTTGAATCGATTCAAGTAGAAATCGGTTATGTAAAGATCGATCAATTACAGATAGATCTTTTCTCCAATGTAGTAAAAAACCTTTCTATCTAAATTTATGGGGGTATTGTCGAATTATAACTGATAATAATGATTGCTGTGATTTTATAACTTGTTCATATGATTATTACTATTAACAATTTTAAATAATGTCCCACATTGTCCTAATATTACTGAAACGGCAAAATGTTTGAGTTTTAAAAAGAAGGTAAATATATAATCAAATTCTTGAGAGATTAAAAAAAATACTTTATTTTATTTTACAAAGCTTAATTAATCTACAAACAAAACCGATTTGATTTTTTTGGACAGGCATAGATATTAGTCTACTCTACACAGCAAGATTATACTTTAGTTTTCGAAGTTAATGAAGAAAATAAAATATAAATACTTTATAGAAATAAGTGAAGATCAATTTTCGATCAGGGCCTCAATTCTGCAATTTTTCGTAACAATGAGGAAGTATTTAAAAATAAAAAGAAAGCACAAAAAAAAATCACCTCCACTAGATGGCGACTCTAGCAAAAGTTGATTTTTGGACGAAACCAATGGACCAAAGATAGCCATTACCGTTCTTTTTAACTAACATATTAAAAAACTGAAATTTGCAAACTTCGAAACTTAGATATTAATACAAATACGAAAATTTCAAATAGAATATGAGCTGTTTATTGAGTTTGAAAGCTAATTTACTTGTATACATGAAATAAAACCGGATGGGTTGTCATGGAGAAATCAAGAAAGTACCGTAGCGACATCTAGTTTGATTTCGGGAACTAATGTTTTTGTTTAAATACTTCCTTATTAAATCTCAATAGAATCTTGACTATTTGCACTTTGCTATTGTACTATGTATCTACATGAAGTCCAATATTATTAGTGCTATGTTTATTACAAATCGATTGTAACAGAAATATAATATGGTAACCGAAACTAAAACTATAGATATGATTGTTAGATAAAGATTCTTTCTAGATAGATTAAAATCTATTGAGATGCGATTACATATTATGTTTTGCGACGATTTGGAAATCGATCTGTTAAAAATTGTAAATAAATCTAATATCATATTCAAAACAATCGAGTGTCGATAAAATCGTGTCGAGATCGGAATCCCTATTTTGAATTCGAAATGGGTAACCGACTACAGTTGTCGTGTTGTGTTTGTTTTGTTTAGCACGTAAAATATTTAAAGGTTTATCACAAACTGTATAGGGCTTATAACTATTTTAAGATACAGCCTTCATTATCATTACTTTTAACTTGTTTACATGAAATAAATGAATTTTTATTCGAGTAATTTATAGTCTTAACCAAAATGATTAAAACAGATCCTTGGTGTGGTGGAACAGGAGAAGAATATGAAACGCAACATTTTGGTTTTGGTGCACAGCGTCTAAAAATTGCTATACGTCAAATGGTTGAACAGAAAATTAAAACAGGAGTAAAAGATATGGAATCTTATTTACAAGATTCATTGGATCTAAATGATACTGATAAATGTACTTTAACGCATTCTTGTGACAAATTAATTCAACTATATTGTGAACGTGCAGGTCCTTCACTGGAGATTATAGATAATGAGATAGAGAAAGTGCTAAAAATTCCCCAAAACGTATTGCTTTCTGAAGACGAAGTGCAACTTCAAGATTTGTCTAATACAGATTACGAAAAACTAAAGGACGAAGTTTTTTTGCTTCGAAAAAATGTTGAGCGTGGAGCTTTGATGGAAGCTTTACTAACTGCAGAAGATGAAGAGTTATCATCACTTGAAACTGTATGTGAAACTGCCAAAAAGGATATGGAGCTTTTGGATTCACTGTTAAGACACACCGAGACAAGCGATTCTATCAAAACCATTCAACACGAGACTCAATTTTTGTGTGCTAGTGTTCCTTTTATGAAAAATGTGGTTGATAATTTGATTTTTGATGAATAATTGTTTTATTTGTCGTAACTGATTTACATTTGAAGTTCTATTATATACTAGCACATAGGACTCGGGATACAAGTTTTAAGCATTTTTCATTGAGAATATCTTCCAGTATAGCACTGCAAATGCAATATTGATAAAATATATTATTTGAAGTTGTTTCAAATATGAGTATGTAAATTTAAGTTCATTGTAAAAGACAAAGAATAGAGAAATGTCATTTACTGAATGATGAAAAATGTGTTTTCATGCTAAAAACAGCAATTGAAATGCTATATAGGATTCGTCTATCCAAAAAAATATTTAGGACTAAAAATAAACAACATTTTGTAACATATTATTTAATTAATCTCAATGGTATCACATTTATGACTTATTCTATACACAAAACTAGAAATTAACGAGCCTGGCTCTACTTTACACACTATTTACTGAACACTGTAACAACATTCAATTTAAAACTATGTATGACTTAACTCCTAGTACAGAATTATACATTTTTGATGGCACTCTTTTATATGTAAATATGTAAGAATATTGTATAATTGAGAATTATTCCCTTTAAACATTTTAAATCTCCTATGTCTACATGTTATTAAAATATGTATTGACAGTAATATAGCCTTTTAGACTACATATTAATCAACTGACTGTGTGCAGTTGCTATTAGTAGTTGAATGACATACTTTCTGACATCTGTAGCAGCAGTAGGTACACTATTATAATATTGCAGACTGTCAAATCTCTATTCTTATATAATCTCAACACCAACAGCTTTTAGCTTGACTGTTTTAGTTTGAGTACTGGGTTTTGTGGTACAGGACATTGTTTATTAAAAGACCCACCTTGTACAACAAACGAGACAAAAGTATGGTAGCAGTTTATATACGCATAATACTTTATGCCATTGTCCATTTTTTCAACTGCCTCAGGAATAGTCAAACAATTATTTGAAAGATATAATAAAAATATATTATGTCATGCTACATTTTTTACAATCATTCTCCATGATAAGTGTGAGCTATGAAGTTTTTTATATTATATATCTCCTTAGTGGTGACAAAAATATCTTTGGTTTCATGAAGAGTAAAAGTTTTTTGTAACATATAGTATTGTATAATCAAAGTATATGTAACACATTGATTCAATTACTATAATAAACAAGCATAACTAAAAAAACACATATATAATCAGTTTATCCCTACATAAGACAATAGCTAAAGATTTTGTTTGTATGTATCTAAGGAATGAGGTTGAAGTTATTAACATAATTCTTAATCTAAGAAGACTTCTAGGAAGTACTAAGTATGGAAGAAATATTTTCGCATTTTAAGAGAGAAAAATCTATATATAGTGTTTGCACACCTAATAAAAAATAAGTAACGTAGTAGGGTCTGTAAAACACTTGAACATCAAAAGTATTGTGAAACATTCATATGCAAAGTACATTACAATTTATAATTGATAAATACTGTAATCATTATCACAGACTGTAAAAACAAAGTTAAATAAACTTTAAGAATCTATGTACAACACTTTAGAATTTATGCTTTACGATTCATATTTACAGTTTTTTGGTTATGCCTAAACTATACATGAATAACGACAATATATATTCGTATTTTATTAAAAATGGTAAATGCCCTACATATTACAAAACATATGTTTACATTTTCTCATTTAATTCTAAATTAAAGTTGAAAGTACTTTACGATTTAAATTACAAAATATGATTATAACATGATTTACAAAAGTAAAGGTTGCAACATTTTATTGTCTGCCTAGTGTCGTGCACTCAGTGCACAACATTTATAAAAACATCATTACTAATGTAATGATTATTAAAAAGGCAATAATTGTATAATGCAATAAAATTAATTAACTTTTTATTTGTAAAGTCTCTGAACAATTATATTAAAATTGATTGACTAGAATTATTAATGACTTCACTCTTAAATATTAAGGTACACATATTAAAACGAATAATAGTTCATTTACATTTAAATTCGCAAACTGCATTTACATTACATTCACAAAAATATATTACAACCTAATCTTACATTGTGATCTATTATACACAAACAACATAAGAACCACAAACTTATACAGAGCGATTGTATGTCGGTCATTGTTTTCTATAATAATAATAAATTTATTAATTTACACGAAGTTTACTTATTACGATAACTATTAATAATAAAAATTATAATTAGATTATACACAAGAATAACAAGTATATTTTTCAGACAACAAATAGCAATTTGTTTTAATTAAAAATAGATTCTACTTTCCTAATATAAAAAAAAAAAATTAAATGTAAAAACTTCAATAAGTAAGCATAATCTGTATTCAAAGACAATCATTGAAACTGGATTGAGTTGATGATAGCAGATATATTATTATAACACAGACATGACAGCTCAATTGAAGTGACAAAGAAACATATCCTCGCATACAACATATTCAGCCTAGTTTTGACTTAATTACCAATATTAATTATTCTATGCTGCTGAATATTCAATTTCAGTCTAATTCTATTGTAAATATGTAATATTATGACAGAATTCTAATAAGCTAAATTAAGCGATCAAACGATATGGTCAATGAGGTCTTGTTAACGACCAGCCCCTATTGCATATATGTGAATGTCGCAATCATATTATATTGTTCAGTATAAAATATATCAAACTCAATATAATTTATTTAGTCTGTTTCGCGAATATATGACGGGAGATTATGTACTGAGAATAACCTGACCTGTAAGAAACTTGGCCGGTTTCCCCTCTCCCCTGAGACTAAAAAGTACGACATTTAGAATTTATGTTAACCTCGTAAAATAAGGTGCATGTGATAATGTAAATTATAAATATTGGCTGCATATTCACTGGCCGGTAATCCCGAACACGACGAGCCAGTTTCGTTCAAGATTGTGATGAGACCGCACATTCGTTGGACAACTATCGCAGCCACGGCATTAATAACAATTCTTCGACTACAAAAAAGAAATGGAAACCTTAACGTTTTTGGATTAAAAAAATGTACGAAAAGATAATTTTGATATTATCAAAAGCTATAAAAAATACGTATATGTTATTAAAATATTAAAACTGGCGGCGAGTGAGTACGAGCAAGCGTTTATCAAAAATCGACTCGGTGCTTGCTCAGTGTATACGCATCTACTACGAAGTGTAATAATACAATGTTTTTCATACGATATGGTTGCGACATACAAACAATCGGCTACTTGACATTTAAAACAATAAATTATGAAACAGTAACGTAACTTTGTGAGTCACGTTACCGTAAACAATAACTATATAGTATTTTTGCATTAAAATAAATTGTTAGTATATTTTAACCTGCAAAATGAACTTACGATTTATAATCTGTGAATTCTGGATTACAAGAACCGAAACGCGAGTGAACATGACTAAAGATCGTGTGACATCACATTTCAATGAATAAACGTCAACGTCTTTATTGCAAGTACAACCAGTGCTCATGTTTATTGACATATGACATCACTTTCGGAGAAAATAACTCTGATGGCGGTTTAATTATTATCATATGAACGTTTTATATTATTTTTCTTAACAGTCAAGTAGCCAATTACACTGAAACAAATTAAAACCCGACGAGATGCAACTAATCGTACGTTATTCAAACGCTGGCCCGGATTTACGTTGTTTTTCTTCCGGAGTAGAAACTTCGTATGGCGCCCTTCAACTACCCTCCTACGTTCCATGAGGCTGACGATTTTATATTATCGTCCCTATACTGTGTTTCTGTGATCTGGAAGCTCTGTTTATTTCAACTGTAAGTAGGTAATGTAGAATGATGATTTTAGCGCCTGGGGCAAGTGTCCTCACTTGCCCCCACCCTAGATCCGGGCCTGTTTAAACGTAAGCTGGCGGGCGCGGGTCTATAGCGGTGCGTACCTTCCTCGCTGCGGGCCCCGGCCAGGACCATCCGTTATCGCTTAGCGCTACCAGTCACACGGGGCCCGTCCACTCTGTGCTATCCTGCAGATATATAACACTGCCTTTTAAATAAATAAATATCCAACTAATAGGGATAATGCCTGGGTAAATCAAAAGAGATTCTATTTGGTCCGTCAGCCAGATAATAGAAAAATATTAGATACTTTTTTTAATTTAACAAGAAGCGGCTCATATAATAGGCATTAAAGGTCGAGGTGTGAGGGCTACGTCACGACTATGTAGAAAATACACAAAGGTCATGGGACATTTATTGATTATTACTTATCAGCAGTAATAGTGCAGTGGTTAGCGCGCTCCGTCTGCGATACTGTGGTTAAGCAATTTTCGCAATGGTCGCTCATAGGATGGGTTATCAAAGATTTGTTAATACCCACCAATCCGCACGGGGTCCTCGTGGTAGATCATGCATGGCTCAATCCCCAGCAATTGGGACATTACCAGCCTATTGATGATTACTTATCAATACCTGTGAAATGTTAACAGTCTTTGGATGCATAGGACTCTGAGGCCCTGCGGTTGTATTAGTAGTGAAGTACCCCCCTGGCCGTGGCCTCAAATGCCTGTTATGCATTTCCATTTGAACTATCTTCATGAATTCTATTTGAGCTGCTAGTTTCTGCACTTCTTCCTGTAAATAAAAAAATATTTAATGAAAAATAAAAAATACAAAAACCACACAATCATAAGTTACATAACTATTATAAATTTTAGGTTAGATTTTAACTGGTTGAATATACAGTTCTAATTTAAAATCTAAGATCCAAATAAAAAAATATTTGTATTTCTTATCGTGTCGTTCATTCATTTCATTAAAGTTAACAAGTAAACTCGTGAGTTTCCTTTAGAAATAAAGAACCAACATTATTATGCAATTGTTAAAAAAAAAAACATTTTCATTTTCTAGACACAAGATGCAGTGCTGTGATTAAAAGGAATGATGAACTAATTTAGTATTTGCTAAATTTTGTACTCGCAATGCAATATCGATAAAAAAAATCAGATCGGATGGCTAAGCAGTCGCGCATATTGCGGAAGGTACATATTACATTATTGCATTTATTGACCCGATACAATTAGGTAACAAGATCTTAAAAAATATTGATAAAAGTTTTGAGAGCCGGCGAGGAACTTCCTCAACATATGTTACAACTATGACATTGCAATAGCACTGTTATTATGTGTGAATATTTCGGGTACATAAGGTTCTTTTAAAATAAGATAAACATTAGCATAATTTTCTATTACAGTAATGATGTTGGCTAATATAATATCATATACCTTAAGTTCTTCATTTTCTTGATATAAATCAGGCGGATCGTCGGGCACCAAGCCGATGCCGTTGAGCGAGGAGGATGCAGGAACCCCTCTAGCTCTCGCGCGACTATCCCACGTATCACCAGTACCGCGTACCACGCGGAGTACCTGATTATACAGAATATTCTGTAAACTTTGTTCCCATAAGGAAATTAGGCAAAACTCAACACAGATGGTATAGCGCCATTATCATCAGCTCTTTTACGTCCTTCCTTATAGATGGTTAAGGAGGATGGGTTATGACCCTCCACGCTGGCCCAATGCGGATTGGAGAGTATTAATGACTGCAAATGCAGCCGGGACCAACGGATTAACGTGCCTTCTGAAGCACGGAGTAGCTCGAGATAATTTTTTTTTGGTCACCCATCCCTTGATTGACCCGTGCGAAAGTTGCTTGACAACAACGATCGCGGGCCGCGGTTTATCCACTACGCCATCGAGCTACTCGATGGCGTAGCATTAGTATAATATATAGTACGTTTGAACAGAGAGAATTTCGTACAGCTACATCTAGCCAATATTGTCATAGTAAACCTTAACAGTGCTATTAATAAACAAGTCGTTAGTAGCGTCAGAGTAAATTTGCGCTAAAATTCAATTTTAATATTAGTTCAAATTCATATTATACAAAGAATAAGCAATTCTTATTAAGCAATTCTAATTAAGCAATAATTATAAATAATTGATAATTAAGCAATTCTACCACCTTCTAGGAGTAAATATTACTTCCATAGAACCTCGTACTAGGTTAACCTTTGCTAAGTCTCTGTTTATTAATATGAATTTTGACTAATACTAAGAGCAGTCTCGCCGTAAATTTACTCTAACGATAAACCTTGTTTATTAATAACACTGCAGATCTTTACGATATCTATCAGTAGGCACAAAAGTCAATGTACGAAATTCTCACTGTTTAGCGACTGGACTAAATAGTAAATAAATTAGCATGATGCAATGTCACATGTAAATAAAATTAAATAAATTATAAAAATTATCATGTATCAAAAACTTATACGATATTAGTATGCTCCGGAATAATAATAATAAAATGATTATATTTTATATTCAAAGTGAAGAGTAACAAGGTTTACTTTATATTCAATATTCATTCCCACTGTCGTTTATAATTTTAATTTAGAGTATTGGCATTACAAACTTTGATCGGTAGAGTAAAATTTAATCTTGACTGTTTAAAAAAATTATAACAAAACAAGTCTAGTGACTATGGCGACTTTACCAGTCTTTACCCATTGTATGCCATATTTGAATAGATTGGACATAGACTTACTATACTATAGACAGTTCGCTGAAAGACGCACGCTAATTCATGAAAAATCGAAGTTTTGGGTAATCACTAACAAATATACAGAATTTCATAAAAATATAGTCATAATAAATATGCATACCTTTGGTAAGAAAACTAACAATACTGTAGTTGAAGTGGACAGTTGTGTTCTAATGAAGCCGAGGAGATATTTGATATCTGGACCTGCACGAGGCAAGATGAGTAAACTGAAAAATAAGAAAACGATTATGTTAACGTAGATAGCTTTTGACTGCGAATTTCGTGTGGTGTGGAATTAGTATATTCAGTTAGTTATTAACCGTGGGCTTCTATGAATTTCTTTTCTGTATTAATTATTTTTTTTTAGAAGACTGAACTTATTACCTTTGCTTCATTTTTCCACCTTTTCTTTGTTGGCATAGTATACTTAGTCAAAGGTTACCTGATAGAAATTGCTACCTTAGTAATAACGCCCTTATTTTGCATATATATGTATATCGACCACAGAACATAGAGAGAGAATAGAAGTAGTAAGTAGGCGGGGCAAGCGTGGCTGGCATATGCGCTTTTACTCATATGACGCCCTTTCCTCGGTTTTATGTTTGTCAGTCGTTCGTCAATCGTCGAGTGGTGATTTTACTGATTTTTTCTATAAAAAATACCGTTTTGTGCTATTATCACTTGCAAAAAGCAAAACAAAGTATACAATCTAACTAATGCAAACATTTCCTTTCACTGGTAAGTACAATTTTAGTGCTAAAATATAAAAAACGTAATAATTTGACACAATTTCAAATAAAATATACATTGTTTGCTCAAACCAACATTAATGTTTCTGACCCCGTTTCTAGACAGCAATGTAAATCATATTGTGCACTTTTGCAAAAAATAGTACTGTGCCTCCATTTGTCTGAAATGTACCGATAGGCTGCTGCTGCTCGGAATCGTATTGTTTATTATATGGATCGTAATCAATAACTAAAACAAATTTATTTAGAGCTTTTCTTTCATAATTTCATAACAACGTTATGGATAAGTATATGCCATAATTATATAAAAATAAATACTACTGTTTACAAGAGAAAATAAAAGATGAATTGATACTGAACAGATGAAATAATGAACTATCCAGGCACTTTTTTACGAAGATATGGTTTTTTTATTTACACGCAGATAAATATTAAAAAATACTGATGTGCTATAAATATCTAAGTTACGAAGTATATCAACGTTTTATGAACAATATATAAATCAAACGAAACTTCATGAAAAGCTAAGAGTGTTGGCCTAATAGGTATTAGAAACGGGTGAAACTGGATTTAACTTATTTTGCATTACTTATATTTCAGTTTCCCTAATAACTTTACAACGGATTGCCCTGTTTACATAATTTATTTTGTCCTATCCGTTTTAGACCTAAACCTATCAAATGAATTTCAAAACAACATAATATCTATACAAACAAAAAATCATGTTTTCAACTAACGTAATATTGTTGGTGGTGTGAATTTAATTTACAAAATTAATTTATAGGCGTAAATTTAATTTACTTTATTATGCTGATTCATAATCGGAAACCATTATTATAGAAATCGAGTTAAGATAGCCACTTTAAAGAACCGCCCACAGAACAGCTTTTATCAGTTTTTTTGTTGCTCCATATTTGCACATAAGTTTATAGACGCATGTCTCAAACGGATGTGACTTTATATGTAGATTGACGTTTGTACGTACTTATCGCTCTTGTGTCTGTCTTCAAACTTTTTTTCACGGCTTTCAAACTCATACTTGACCAGCGATTCCTTATTGACCAGTCGTTGCAATTAAAAATGTAGGTACTATTATTATTACAGATATAAAACTTAGAATAATAAAGTAAAACTAACATGGCTACGATCAATTTATTATTGTAATGATCATATTAGTTATTATGAAATGAAATGAAAATATCTTTATTCAAGTAGGCTATTACAAGCACTTTTGAATCGTCCAAAAATTTTTTTTCCCCTACCACTTATTCAGGACGTCTTTTGACAAGAAGAACAAGCGAAAGTAACTTACCAGCCCTTTATCATAAGTAATGATATTTACATAAATCATGTCATTTCATATCACAATAATAAATACAACTTTCAAAGTCTGTAGGACATAGGTTGAACATATAATTAGTCTTTATAGAACAAAGCGAAGGCTATTAATTCCATGCATTACCATTCTTAAAATAATCATCAACTTTATAATAGCATTTACTCATAAGTATGATCATTACATGAATTTTAAATTTATTTATGGGTATGTCAACTACGAACTTTATTGAACATAGCAATGCATTTACCCAGAAATGATCCTCTGGTTATCTGAAGTCTGAAGCTTAGAATGGCAAGTTTATTTTCATTTCTTGTGTTAAGATTATTAACACTACTTTTTTTGTGAAGAAATCGTAATGTTTTCTTGCGTAGATAATATCGTATTTTCATTGATGTATTGAGAGGCAACAGTCAAAATATTTATTTCTATAAATATTTATCTGAGAGATTCTCTAGACCGTAAATTATATATAGCGTGGACAGCTCTCTTTTGTAGAATAAAAATATCTTAAATGCTAGCCGCCGAACCCCACAACAATAGATTATACATCATTACACTATGAAAATAACTAAAATATACCAATCCTGCCGTTGTTCAACATTTGTCAATAGTCTAATTTTCTTAACAGCAAATGCTGCAGAACTCAGTCTACTTGACAAATTCACTAGTTTACAAAATTTAACTTTTTATTTATACCCCGAAACAAATGTATGTAAATATGTTAATCTACCTTCCTTAAACCTAAAAGTGTTAGCAGAAATATTTTATCACGTCTTAATTTTTTCCTGCAGTCAAATGTTTTTTTTAACTACCCGACACGTTTACGATGTTTTATTATTTATTTGTTCTCTTCCAACGACATTTATCTTGCTTCGGATTGATTTAAAATGTCTTGTAGAAAGTGCAAACAAAGTCCTGATCGTTTTTGTTATGTTTGTGGACAGTTTATATTTTCAAAAAAGAGAAGACCTATTGTAGATTCGTTAAAAAATGCATATCTTCATTATTTTGGATTTTCTGTTGCAAATCAAGACAAAAAGTGGGTGCCTCACGTGTCTTGCGAAAGCTGTAGAATCATCTTACTCCAGTGGTCATCGGGAGAAAAAGTTTACCTTCCATTTGGTTCACCAATGCTATGGAGAGAACCTAGTAATCATGAAAATGATTGTTACTATGGTGTTACGAAAACATTGGGATATAATAAAAAAAATAAGGCAAGTATTATATATGCCGAAGTTCCGTCTGTTTCTAAGCCGATTTTACATTCGAAAGATTTACCACATCCAGTTTGTTCAGGTAATTCGAGTGCAAATATATTAGATGACAATAACAGTGATGTTGAATTCAAGTCGATTTCTAGTGATTCTGACGAATTTTCACCTCAAGAAAGCACTCCACATTTAATTAACCAAGCCGAATTAAATGATCTTATAGGAGATTTACAGTTATCAAGATTTAAAGCAGAGCTTCTCGGCACCCGCTTTCAACAATGGAACTTGTTACTACCAGACACAAAAGATACGTTTTTCAGAAACAGAAGCAAAGCGTACTCAGAATTTTTCAAAAGAGAAGGTGAATATTGTTATTGTACTGATATCCCGGGACTTTTTGAAGCAATGAATCAATACTATGATAAAACAGAGTGCCGCCTATTCATAGACTCTTCGAAATATAGTCTAAAAGCTGTTTTATTACATAACAGAAATAAGAAACCGTCCATACCAATAGGACACGTGAAAATTACGAAGAAATTGTTAACAATTTATTGAAAAAATTTCAGGATATGGGAGTAAACATGTAATTAAAGATTCATTTTCTACATTCTCATCTGATTTTTTTCCCTGAAAACTTAGGAAGTATGAGTGACGAACAGGGTGAACGTTTCCACCAAGATTTAAGGATTTTCGAGGAACGACATCAAGGATTTTGGGATGAAAATATGTTAGGGGATTACTGTTGGTCCATCATAAGAGAAACTGATTAAAATAACTATAAAAAGAAAGCAAAATATAGTCATTTTTAATTTATTTTTGTATTAATTCTAAAAAATTGTATTTCTCTTTAATTTAATAAATATTTTTTAAACCAGACGTACCGAATTGTTTTATTATTTTTTCTGGATAATTCTACCTAAATACAAAATAAAATAACAACTTTCAGCTGGGGTATGAAAACCGTGTTAATTAGTGTTATCAATATGAGGATCCCATTGCAGTCGGGAATCTAGTGTAATACCAAGGAACTTTGTCGATTTCACCAACTCAACTTTTTCACAATTTACATTTATAAGTGTATTAATATGCCTCACATTAGGTAATGAAAACTTTATGTATTTCATTTTATTTCAATTAAGCTTTAAATAATTACTATCAAACCACTGTAGAACATTGTCGGACTGAATTACATTTTACTGTTTCATAACAAAATTTAAAGCTCTTATTTTATCAACTAATATTATGTCACATCACTAATATGAACAATCGGAATGATACCAGTAAGAAAAAATTACAAATTAGGCTTAATGTAATTAATACAAAAATTATATTACTCCACAGACATATGACAGAGTTTATCATTAAGTTTTCTTAGTTTTTGTACTGCGTTTTTTTAAAGATATTTTAATAAATTATATAGGGAAAAGCGTTATTTTTCAATAGTCACTTGGTTACAGCAAAATCTAATCTTAATAGTTAGCACATAAAATGATGTCCCCAATTTTTTTAAATGTGCATAATCTTAAAATATTTTTTCCCTTCTGGTATCCCCGTATACAGCCACGTGACAGTTCAACATTCATGTTAAAGTAAATTATTTATTATCACGTTGAATTAGAGTTTGTTTTTAATCGTGTGATTTCTTCGCTTAGTATCTTTTTGGGATTTTGTTTATGTTATCGCGAACGTATCGCGTGGCGGTTTTTCATGTAGTGAACAAAATGATCATTTCATCTAATCTGTGTTTGTGTGCGAAGAGGCGACACTCGGTTCCCATACTAAATCAATATCATTATACTTCTAATCTCTCTCTATGTTCTGTGATATCGACGTAAAAAAGCAGAAACGTAGTAACCCCCAAAATCCGAAATGTTCGCCAGAGTTACAAAAAATTTTGAAATTTAAATATATATTCAAAAACATTTTGAAATTAAAATATATATGTATTTAAATTTTGAAAATGTTTTTAACTCTGGCGAACATTTCGGATTTTGGGGGTTACTACGTTTCCGCTTTTTTACTTCAATTTAGATATATACACATTTGTTTGGATTTAGTGGAATAAAATGTACGCATTCATTCATTCTTATATATCTGAGTGGCCCGCATGCCGATTTTAAAACGTCGCCATCTTTGAGGTCAACGTAGAAACTGAGCTTACTGTTAATTTTCAATTAGTCAGATGTTCATTTTCTATATTATTCAATGTAGAAAATGAACACACAGACCCGAGGTCGTGTCTCAGCTCTGCGTATTGTGTTCAAATCAAACGAAAATCTTTTATCAGTCTAGGCTGTTTCAAGCACTTGTGAAAGTCGAAACTATGCCATCAGTTCGTTAATCTACGGTGGAGACCATGTACCGAGAAGATCCGGCAAGAAACTCGACAAGGACCGCTTTTTTCTTCTTTCCGTAGGTACTTTTGATGTCAGATACTCCATAATAAGCTCATCTTAGAATTTGAGTAACGATGTGATGTTGTCTAATATCTGTTATTATTTAATAGAAAATAAACACTTACTGGAATGCAATCATGAGTGAGTTAACGGTAAATATGTTGTAAATAGCAATGGATATCAGTCTGGCTTCATTGTACAAGCTCTCTGCGTGACGAACCCGGTAACAAACTCTGACCCCCCATAGGAGGAACAATATTTCACCTGAAAAATTAGGTAAGTTGTATGGATTTTGGTAGAACACCCTTAGTAACAAGTCGAGGATACACACCTGATAGTATTTACACATGAAACTATAACTAGGCTTAAGGTTTTGAGGCGGTTGATGGGGCGGTGGTTAGTTTAAGTTATGCAACTTTCGCTATTCGTATCGTTTATAGGATGGATTTTGGTCACCAAAAATATTAACACGTATAATTTTAGACATTGTTCGCATAAATAGTCGGCGGTCGACAAAACGTTTCGTGTGAATCTGAACATTCACAATTGTTTAAAAAATTCGTCAGTCCTGGGTAGCTCAGTGGTTAGAGCAGTCGCCCGGATTGCTAAAGGTCATGGGTTCGAGACCCATCTTAGAGTGTCAGGAACACAATGGATTTTTTAAGCATTTTTCATTGAGAATAACCCTAAATTTTTATAAGTTAAATCTACGTGCCTATCTTATTTTTAATTATTTCAGTATTCGAAAAAAATTGTCGTAAAATGTCAAATTTATATTAAGTTTTTCAATTACTATCATAGACAAATGATATGTGGAGAGTTTGTTTGTTTGGCCTTATGTGTTTCGAAATATGTATTAAATTTAAGCAAGAATATTATCGTTCGGTCGAGGCGCTACTCAATGGTATCGTAATTATTAGTTTTGCTAATTTGTAAAGTTCTGGAAATAAATAAAAAGAAAATATTTGTATGTCAATTTTAATGCTAGCCAATTATAGCAATTATTATAGTTTTTATTTAAGAACGAGTAATATTATCTTTTTTTTTATATAAATGTAAATAAATTTTCTTCAAATGACATTGAAAATGCTTTCGTGTTTAATTTTTCACCAGCACATCGCACAAAGAGCTGGTCACAGCTATAATTTTCCATAATTCATCAACAATTATGTAATTAGATTGATAAATGAATTACAATTTAATCACTTGCGCTCGAAAAATAATCAAAACGAAAAAAATGTTTAAACAATACACCAGCCAAATTAAATATTCCTTTTACGCAAACGATACTCTTTTGATGACTTCTTACGGGTGGCCGTATCTAGAACGTTAAAGTAGTTCAGTCTACTTTTGATAGATGGCACTTTTACTAGTTTAAATAAATCACGATCATGGGTAGGGTATGCAGTGCTTATTTGCATGTAAAATCTTGGTAGCCTGCAAAGTATTAGCAGCCTATTCTCTATATTTGATTCCGTCCATAGGAAAGATCTATGCCCTAGTAGTGAGGACATTAATATATTGCTGGTGAGGCTGTTATATTGCGACATATTTGATGGAAGACCTCTTAAAACAAGTGCAATACAAATTCACCTACCTATAGCTAAACTATGATCCCACCAATTGTATGTGCACTGTTTGAATTTCAATCCTCTATTGTCCGTAATCTGCAAAAGATAAGTAATATTAGAATAGAAAAACTTAAAGAGGAAACTATATACTATTTGATAGTAAGAATACTCACAACTTCTGCATCGGGTGGTGAGGAAAGAGTCCATGTTCCAAGATAAACTAACATTATGAGTAGTATTGGAGCCATCCATTGCAAAAGCTGTTTGTCAGTTAGTTTGAGTTTGTGAGCAGATTTCACACGATATGTTAGGGACACCCTGAATATAAAAATGAAGTAATAAAGCATCAAATATAAAGATACTTAAAAATTTGATTTGTTATGAAAAGAAATTTTAGCTGTCTGTGCTAAATTAACAACTGTAATAAACTTTGTTTATATTAGAAGCCATACATATAATCTCTTTTATATTCACTTAGTTGTTGATTACTAAAAAAAGAAGTCTTGAATCTTTTATTATAAAGTTTTATAAGAAATAAATTAGATAAAGAGCAATAAAAAATTAAACAAGAATTATTACCTCCAAGTTTTCATTAATAAAGCTGTGTAGGTTATACAGAAGCCCATATGCCGTGTCCACTTTGTAGCAATACAGGAATATCTATCCAAAACAGGGAATATGGCTGCCATCTGCATAACAAGTTCCATTTGGAATATGATACCGCACTTCTTATTGCCATAAATAAAATACTGTTGTCATGGATACATAAATCATTCATATTAGAGATGTGCTGAATATTGGTTTGGTGTTCAGTTTTTTCACTATTCATATTTGGCTGAATTATTCAGTTTTGGCACTGAATGTATTCAGTTCAAGTGAGTATTTCTATTTTCTTAGCTACATAACACTGTATAGAACTGAAAAACAAAACTTCTTATGGAAAATCCTATGGAGAATGGGTTCAATTATAATAAAAAGAAGCAATAAACTTGAAATCAGAAATACCTATTTATTTTATAAACCATAGACACTAAAAATATAATAGTCTCTCTGTCAAGAGTCTAGTAGGTTTTTCTTCAAATAGATTCCCTGCTTCCAAAATACTTGTATGCTGTATTATGAGGAGCAATTAGAAACACCCTTCACTAACTAAAAAATAATGAAATGGTATATAGAATAATTCAGCAGAATATGCTACTGTAAACTATTTGGTTATTTGACGAAACCATTATTCGGCACATCTCTAATTAATATATATGTATGTACATTAATTCATACACTTTTATGAATCTTTTTTTCTTAATTATACATGTTTTTACCAATTGAGAACGTAAAGTAAAGCTATAACTTTAACTCAGACCATACCTAAAACCATTTTAAACAGGTTTCGTTTTATATTTTATTTTTATTAATGATCAGTTGATAGCAGCTTGATAAAACTAAGATATTTTGCCATGTGAAACATACAAACTTAAGTCATTGAGAATAATTAGTTGAGACTTTGAACATTTCTCAATTCAGAAGCCAGCTGTATGACTTACCTCCATGTACATGATAGCACATCCAAGCAATGTTATAGACAGAAATACAGGGCTGGCAACACGAAACACCTTCACTCTTCTGTGGTGACGTGTATAAATAGTCAGGCACACCGTCATCACTGCACAACTCACAGATATTACAAGAAGAGATATCCTGAAATCCCATCATATGACTAAATACTTTTTAGATAAAAACAGGCAATTATCTTGAAGAATAAACTACCTTTCTAAATTGCTGGACATAAATCTGTTAGTTTTGAAAAATGTTTGGAGGATTAAATGAGTCCACAAAGAATTTGATATTTTCAGTTTTCATTAGGAATATCTTATGAATAAAAACTACATAATTCAGTAACTTAATGACAAATTATAGGTTGACAGAATAGTAATAGAGTTATTGATAGAAGTGCACTTAGGGCAGTATTTCCCAATATTAGTAATGAAACCTTAAAATCCATCCAGTAGATTATTGATATAACTTTATAAGTAAAATATCACCGGAACAATCAATCAACGTGTTTGGTATAAAATTGTGTAATGCGGCAAAAATATTTCTAACGTTCTTTTAGAAAAATAAATTTAATTAGAAAATAATTTTTCTGGTGTTTGATAATAACATAAAAATGGTTATGTGTGAAGGTTTAGACATTAAAATGCTTGTTTATTAAAATACATATTCTTAGTATATTAGTTTTTCTTACCGAAAGGGCCAGTTGTAAGTGGCTAAGCAGGGCTCTGGCCCTTTGCACGTCTCGCACCCTGGCTGGCATTTTAAACACTCGTATGGTTCACTCCAATTTTCTAATCCGTTTTCTTCGAATTCTTGATAAGCAACTGCAAATAAAATATTAAGACACTAATTCAAAACGTCCAAATAAACTATAATAGTGATGTATTGCGAACTAGAGTTCGATCGAAATCGAGAATCGAGAGGGAGTTATGAATTAATTCATAAGTATAAATAAACTACAATATAAATAAAATAATATGTTACTCATAGATTTTTAGAAATGAAGAACATCATCAACCAAATAGTACTATTTACTTTTCACTTTGAAGAAAATTAGCTTCCGTAGTTCTTTTATAAACAATCGATCATAACGATAAAACAATTTATATATAATTGTCTTACTGTGCTTTTGTAAGGCATTCTGCTTTTAAGCCATATTTTTTATCCTATTTATTATAAATTAATTATATTTTGTTTATTTGCAGGCATTTCCTTGTTGTTTGATTAGTACTCAATAAACGACTTTTATGATTCGCGGAGAAGTCGATCGCTTTTCTATACACATTAATTATAGCAAACTCAGACCAAATAAAAAGTATAGACGGAGTTTTGCCTAACAGAAAAGTGAAGCCGACAAAACTACGCCTCGGCGTATTCGTACACAGTTTCACGCACACATACATAACGAAACTACGCCTTCCTTATCAGTCTAACTGAAGACAGTGTGCGGAACGTTTCATTATAAAAAAAATCAAAAATTTCTTACTAACTGCCGAATTGTGTAGTAAAAGGTTGTAAAAACCAATCCTCAAAAAATAAAAAGCAGGATGGAATCACATTTCACACATAAGTATTGAAGAAAACTTAAATTTTCAGTAATTTAAAAATTAAATTTAAGTAATTGCTTGGAACACAAAACCTCAGCTAAATGTTACCATCGTTAAACGTTATTATTACCCCGAAATCAGGTAACTTTAATTTTATAACGCGTTATTTCTAACAAAACGCAAATTACGTTATGTATTTTTTTTCTTGTTGTATGGAAATGATATTTATAATAAATTTTGCATTCAAAATGCTACATAGAGGTCCAGATCACAGATATTGAAGTGTTAGAATAAGGAAGTAAAAAATAAAAAACGGGTTTAATTTTTTACTTCTTTATTTTTACTAAACGGGTTTGCATACATTTTTTTATTTCCAAATCGACATCAAAATGTGAAAGTGAAGTGGATTTCAGTCATTCCTAATAGTCGAAATGAACCTTCATGGAATCCAACTTCGCGCAACGAAGTTTGTTCGACTCATTTTAAGAGCGATGATATGTATTATACTATAAAAGGGTTACGTCGAATAAAGCAAAACTTATATCCAAAGGTTTCAAACTTTCTATATATTAAAATTTTAGTTAACATAGTGGATGTTTCAAACTTAACTTAAAAATTAATTAAATAGTCTCTCTAATGTATGGCCTCCAATAATAATTAGTTAATTACCTACTCTTAAAGATTTTAGAATATCTATGCTGATATTGACAAACGAATTTACATTATATTATTAAATAGCATAGCGTTAGCGTTAACTCTATAACGTCGTAACGTTAAGTTATTGGGGTGTTTTTAATGACTATGGTCACACTGGCACGCACATTTGTTATTCAGCGAACTCCGTCTTTACTTTTTATTTGGTCTGAGATAGCAAACATTTTAGAGTTCCTATTTTATTGCCGAACATTTTTTTTTTATAAATTAAGTTATTCTAGATTATGCTTAAATATTTTAGGGGACTGACCTTCAACTAAAGATCCGTTAAATCCTTCTGGATGATTTATTGAGTAATATCCAGGTCTACATCTGCAAATATACAATCCACGAGCCCAACCAGCATAACGCGCATTCATTTCTCTATTAGGTTTGTAATCACACTGAAAATAAATAATGATACGATTAATACACGTTTTCCTGCAATGATAAATAGTGATCGAAATAGATAGGTTATGTTATTTTTATGCCTCGTTGGAAACGTTGTTGTTACAATGAATGTGAGAGATGGGCCGAGATTTATCTTTAATAGTCGGCCTTCTAGGCAAATGAATTTCTCTTTATAGAACTTATTCCAGTACGATTTTTTTCACCTCAAAATTCCATACGTAATTGGATCGAGTAAATTAGCCCAGTGCTCAGTACATATCTAATATCTATGCTTGGTTTTTAAACTTTAGATAAATTTAAAATCCCTGATACTGAACTCATCTCCTTAATAACATAAACATTGGAGGTCATAAAAAGCTCTATATATTTTGACTACTTATGCAGATAGAGTAGACAATGTAGAAACTCACGTAAGTAGTCTCATTTGGGCACTTGTGTGTGCCATGGAAGGAATAAATTTGATTATCGCTATCATTGTCAGGGTTAACTTCACATTGATTTATTTCCAAATTAGATATGTCTATATCCAGTGAAATAACACCCTTTAGCCTGAAAAAACAATTAAACAATGGTTAATAGATAGATAATATATTTTAATATTAAATTCATATTTAAAGCAATAATGTGTCGAAGAAGTAGTGAAATATATTTTAGTATTTTCATTTTCTTCCATTTATAATATTTTTACATTGAACTAACTAAGAAAGGACTTTTAACTATGGAAATAGAATCGACTACGGCGACTACTAAAGGATATCACTATTTATTTTCATACATTATTCGAAATTAACAGTCACTGTCAGACCCATTTCACCGACGTTTGGTTCAATTCGTGCCATTTTTTAACGTATTTTAAATATTTTCGTATTTTTGCCGACTAGAGTGTTTCACTTCAATGTAGATTTTTTTTTATTATCTCGGGTCTAGATGTTGTAATTCCTTCGTTGTTTCAAACTGGAATTAGTTATACTTTTAATGAAACATAGTCTTACCCACGTACTGTAGCGACAGGTACTGTATATGAAAGGAGCCACCGTTTTGCCTGACAACTGTAGTAAGGGTATGTCCACCAACCTTCCATAGTAACCCCAGGTGGAGAAGGCATAAACTTAGAGGAACGGAGTGATTCACTATTATGTGCTGACACGTACCTAAAACAATTAAAAATGTTAATATTTGTTCATCTTTAAGTACCAATATTATTAAGAAGAAAGATTTGTTAGTTTGCGTTGAATAGGTTCCAAAATCGTTTTAAAAATTCACCAGTCTTGTAAGGCCATCGGTAGCTCATTTGTACGAGCACTCGTACGGATTAAGTAAGGGCTAACTAGTACACGTAGCATGACGAACCCTGGAGTCCAAAGAATTCGAAAACTCGTTGAGAATAAGATTAAAAACTGACATTTGGGTAGACAAATCATTTCTCGATTTCATCATCGATCGATATTAAATAATAATACGTGGAGGGTGAGAATGATCATTGATGAAAAATGTTTTTTTTTACCAAGGATATTCAGGATCTGGAGGTTCTTCTAACTGTGGTGACACGACGGCTACTGGTTCTGCTGTGCCGTATCTCTCCCAAGCTACTGCACTGTTAACAACGCCGTCAGATCTTAACGCTAACGCTCTAGATCCAACCGCCCTTTCTGATAGACTGGCTCCCATAACCAGACCTTGAGATACTGCCATTAATACCTCTGGAAATTATAGAAATACACATGACAATGTTGGTAGTACGGGGGAATTAATTTTCCAAGATATACCAAAAGTAACAACACATCTCAAAATATATCTCAGCACATAGCTTAAGATAAAGTAGGTTAATTGTGGAAAGGTAAATTCCTTCTGACACGCTAAGCCACGTTGCTTATTTAACAGAGATTGCCTTTAGATAAACACCATATAAATATCATATTCTCGTTTGGGCGATACAGAATATTAATAAAAAGATATTCTAGTGTCATTTTCATTCTCGGAAGATTAGGGATATCTATAATAATATTATAAAGAGGAAAGTTTTCATTTCCTGTTTGTTAACGTTGAACATCGGCTCCGAAGTTACTGGATCGATTTTAAAACTTCTTTTATCTACGGGAAGCTACATCATACGTGGGTGACTTAGCCTATAATTTACGCGGACAAAGTCGCGGAAAAACAGCTAGTGTAGTATAAAAATGTAAGTAATAACCAAAGTTTATACTACATTCAAGAGTTGAATAATTAAATACAGTTCCATACTTTTGCAATTCCATCATGAACGTGGTTATTCTTCAGTGGTCTCTACCTAGTTATATTTGATGTAAAACGGCTGGTCGTATTTCGCTAGCTGTCCGTTATTTACAGAAACTTATCACTTACCAGCGGATTCAACTCCTAGTTGTTGAAGAACGTTAGCGGCGAGGTCTGCTCTTGCTCTTGCTGTGTCCCACCGTGCGGCGTGCAACGGTGCCCGCAAGCGGCCGTATCTGTGCGTGACACAAAGCGCCCCGGTCGCACCTGATGCCACAGCGTGCACTAACCGCAACGACGATTCCACCTCTTCCTATAATGAAATAAGTAAAATTAATATTACAAGGAATATGAGCAAGAATTTGAAGGTAAGTGGAAATCTGAAAACTATTAAAACAATGCTACAACAATTACGACAGTATAGAAATGAAGAAAAAGATAACGCGGAAACACTGGTTCCGAAATGAATAACCCTGTATTAGTGAAGATTTGTTATGTAAATCATAATTTTAAATGTCGCGGACATATCATATTATCACCACACGGTGTCAACAGCCGAAACTCCATTTGTCCCAAGAGACCCTAATTAAGGGAGATGTGACTGTTGGTAAAATTTATACACGACAAGTAATATGCTGTGTTTGGAATATCTTAAAATTAAAGAGATGAGAGCCACACTTTGTAAACAACTGTTTTGTGGCCTTATAATGCTGTTTATTTATTTAAGTATTATAACGGTTTTAATACTGTCTTCCTCTACTGAAAATGAAGGTAGGGCAGAGTTTTCGACTTTTTAACTGCCAAGCCTTAGCATATCGACGCTGGAAAGCAAACACGTAGTAACCCGCAAAACCAAAATGCATATTTAAAGTGGAAAATCTTTATATTTTTCAAAAAATAATATCTTATTTCCGGATAAATTGACTAAGGAACACCTTATTTATTACCATGGACGTGTATACGAATTATTTATCAAAAAAAAATAAAAGCTAATCTGCTCTGAAGGACAATTTTGGTTTTGCGGGTTACTACGTGTTTGCTTTCCAGCGTCGATATTAAACCAACAAGAGTAACATTCGGCACTTCTTTCAACACAAAATGGTCTGCCATCTAAGAAAGAGGCGAGGTAATGCACACTAACCAAAAAGTTAAGATTAATGCATTTTCGCAGCTTGTCCCTATGAACGCACACGTCAAAATTGTAACATACTTTCATAAAATACACGCACACAATCATATTCACACAATAATGGCGTGTAACGAATAGCGTGAAGGATTTACCTATATCGATACATTTATAGATGGGTAACTTCCTTATTTGTTATTTATTAGTTCCTTATTAGTTTTGTATTTCATTCTTTTCTTGCACACATATTCGTATATATCTATACTAATATAAAAAAGAGTTAAGATTTCACTGTTTGTTTTGTTTGCACTGAATAGGCTCCGAAACTACTGAAACGTTTTTTAAAATTCTTTCACTGCCGGGAAGCTATATCATACGCAGGTGATATAGGCTCTAACTAACCAGGGCAAGTAGCGGGAAAACAGCTAGTTATAAAATAAAACACATTGTAAAAAAGAGAAAAATAACTCAGATATAACTAAAATAATAGCATGCGTGCAGCAGCGATGCGAATGAGCTAAAACTCTGTGGTTATTTTATTACTCAAAGAGCAATGATGTGTGGTATAAATAACTCACAAACTTTGAATCGATTAAAAATTCAGTTTTTATTTAAAAGGTTTCTGCATTAATATTTTTGTAAATATTACTGTTTGATATTGTTCAACTATAACTAATTGATAAATATTAAACCCACCGAAAATTCCAAATCAAGTCCATCAAGGCGTCCGTGATAAAGTGTCCTAGTTCGATATCGACATACGATTGTGATGTCTCAACGCTAGCTTTTGAACTCTTGTTGAATTAATACTCTTAGTTTGCATTGGATAGGCTCAGAAACTATTCTTAATGAAAAATGCCTAAAAAATCCACCTGGTCCTTGGCAAACTGAGAGAATATTCTTAAATATATAAGTCTTTCATCTACAGGTAGCGACATAGGGTAAATACTCAGTAGTCCGCCTTTCAATGACAATCTTAACTGATTCAACTATATTTAAAAAATAAAGGCTTTAAGTAAAAGCAGCTATTTTTATCTTATTATAATTAGATTGGAGTAAGATAAACAATCAACACTAAACGAAATATGGGACTTTTACCATTACTCGGCCACATGTGAACGTACAAGTCGACCGTCTCTTATCCTTTAGTTGGCCTCTTACCTATTTAGGTACTTTTGCATATTGGACATACAAATTTTTTAATGTACACATTTTCATAGATATCAAATAAACCAGCAAATTTGGTACATTTCAAATGACTCCAATTAATATTCTTTAAATTGTCTTGTAATTATTTTAAGACTTCAACAGTTTTTATTTTTATAATTTATTTTGTCTTTTCTTCTTCTCGACATGATCAGATTCTATAATTCAAGATTGATATGCTAAAAACATGCTAGATGTAATTCTAAGTAAACGGCAATAAGATTTAATTTAATGCAGCAAAACTAATGGCCGCCTTTTGGAGTCAATAGTCCATTAGTCGGCCACCAACATTCAGTCACTTAAAAAAAAAAATGAATAAATGAATTGAACTTTTAGATAACAGTTATATTCAATCCAAAGCAAAAAATATTAACTATTTATTGTATGAAATCCATTCAAAATACAAACGAAATCCCAATAAAAAAGTATAGTATACACACTCGTTAAACATAGATAATCCTCCTTTTGGATTTTGAATGAATGTAAAATACACAATCTCTTGTTTTTAGCTGAAATAAATATACTCGTATCATTAAAATACTCGTATTTGGGTGAAATCTGATGAAAAGCTTTTCTTGTTTTGTTATAAAATATTCATCACCGTGGAACATAAAACCTCCTCCTTTTCGATTTTGAAGTCGGTTAAAAAGAAAGATTTTTGAATTCGTAAATTTTGAACAGACTACAATGATAATTTGATTGTATAATTTCTGTTTTAGTAATATTTATTGTCATATTAAAGTAAAGATATATGGTTTAAGAACATTCTATTATAAGTATACCAATAGATGAGATCAATTGCATTAAATGAACCGACTTACACTCGTCTAAGCCACAGAGTTTAAATGGATTTCTAATTAAGTACCTAAGCCATATTTGTTTGGTAACATCCGCTGATTGTTACTTTAACGAGATTCAAATGAGCTCGCGAACTATCTTGGTGGTTTCACACTCTAAGCGCTTATATATGTTTTGGTGAATGATCTAGAGTGAAATTGGTTTTGATACTTTACGAAAAGTTGTTTTGACAAGATAATATTATAATACTCTATATATACTCTATTTTCTGCTTCCCTCTTTCAGAGTGACCGCGAAACCACTTTTAGATCATCGGACTATCGGGCAGGTGGTCTCCAACACTTGTTTTGCTCAAACGGGGTTCCACTCCAAAATGCGTTTCCGCAACGCGCGTCGTGGCGCCGATATACGTGGCTGGCCTAAGTCCATTTTAGTTTCGCCATCATCAACATCGACCTATTAATGACAATCATAGACCTTTCCTATGGATGGAATTGAATCGAATAGATAGAATGGGATAGGAGTAGGATTGTCGATGCAACCACGACCAATCGATTAATGTGACTTCCAGAACATGGAAGAGCTGGAAAGAATAAAATTATTGTATACCATCACGCGGCCATCGTATAGCGAGAATAGGATATAACCCCACATCCAGCGCGGATTGGAGAGTGTTAACGATAGCTGATGCAACGAGGACCCTGGTCTTAATGTGTCTTCCGAAACAATTTTTAGTTACTCACTCTATGTCCGGCCCCTGAAAAAGTTCCTTATTAATCCTATCGCAGACCGAACGCGCTAACACTACCACTACGCCTGTGAGCTCCTAACCCCATCACAGACATAGTATTTAGTAACACACGATTATAATTGCAGTGCTATCGCAGTTGTCGATTGATAGATGTTTGTGTCTTCCA